TTGTTCTACGAAAGTAAATGAACTCTTTTTTGTTTGTATACGCAGATGCTGACATGCAAAGCTAAAAGTCGCTTAGGAACAATTTGTTCTGCCTTTTCCAAATATATATTGAGTACAGCGGCGGTGAGATACTAGGTATTTATGAAATGCATGTCATTCAGATACCGTTTGCCAAATGACTTTTTGGTACCCTTTCTTCAAATTGTTTTTAATTACTCATGTGTGAAATATGTATCAAATGAGTTGCATCAATGAAAGAGGAGGATCTAAGCTTTACAGGTATGTGTCATTTATTAATTATAATTTTGATTAAGTTATGATAAAACATCGATAATTCTCAGTTTCGTTTTTTTCTGGAACGCACTGTATATAGACATATAAAATACTTACAGAACCTCCCAAAGTTCCCCATTTGTTTAAGTAGATGAAAGTTGCCTAGAGAAGACAGGTATAAATATACAGGCTAAGCTTATGAACTGTGAAGAAAAGGTCTTGCGGACTCGCGTTGAACCGCTAATGATTACCTTCGCCCCTTGCCGACCTGGGGCTAGCATACGAGTCAGGATAGGGTCAACCGCCTCAAAACCTAGGATGGACAAACAGAGGGAACATATACAGCCACTGTGACGTCTTCGTGCAGTGTTTCTTAAGGGCATCTTTTCAAAATATCCTTTTCACTTTTTTTTCTATTGTATTTTCACGTATCCATGGCGTCATCACACTTGACAAAATAGTTAACAATTTTACATTGGTTGGTTGGTAGATCACGTTATAACAAATTACTAAGTCAAAAATATTATATTTTTAGTAAATTGTGAGCCATTTAGCCATTGGCTGCTAATCGTGATTTGCATCTACTCTACCGGGACAGGATTTATTTTAGGGCTTTAATTGATCGCATAATTATTTTTCTTCAAATCGGTAACAATAATATTTTCTTTAGTTGTTACATCGGTCAAATAAATATAATGTAACATTGGGAGGAGTATTGTCGAAAAAGGGAAAATGAATTTTTTGATCAAAAACACAATCATTTTGAATCTCTCAACGTGTTGCCAATTCAAGATTTTGAAAGTTATTTTTCCTTTTAAAATTCCTTGCATCAAAAGCAATATAGTCATGAAACACAAATGAATGCATTGTGCAACTGTTTGTCTTTTCTACTTATGCATCTGGCATATTGGTAGGGCTCCGAATAAAACGATGTGTGGAATGATTGTCTCGAAAGGGTTAAATCATGAATAAATGAATTTAAATAAACATTGAATTCGACGCCATCAATGCCATAAAGATCAAATAAAATGAAACGAATTCTTTTTATCTAATCACCTAAAAACAAATTGACCAATCAGGGAGCGAGTATCAACCTCTCGCCTCAACACGCAATCCAAACATCTAGGGAAGTTTTTATGTAATTCGTCGTCAATCTTCCGATTTCCTGAATAATTTAGGTGTTTGGATGCCTGGTTCGATCGAGGGGTTTCCCATCTCGCCCTCTCATTGGTCATACGCCGGTCACACTCATTCTATCGACGCGAGACTGACAACAAAAAGACAAAATAATTACATTAGTACGATGTGACAGAGGTTTAAAATTATCAATTAAATGTGTAACACGCATTTTAAATTACACAAGAAGGACTTATCAATATGTACAATGTATCAAGGTGATTAAAACGGGAACGCCGAGGAGCGGGGAAAAGGTGTAATAATGGCGGAGTTTGAAGTCACGATGTATAGTTTAATCACTTTCTCTTTGGATTAAAAATGTACCTCGCAAAATTATCTCATTTGTCTGATTGCACGCATGATTGTTTCCCAATACACACATACACACACTATATAAATATATATATATATACACACTTGCACAACACACTCACAAACTCATACACAAAGATCGTTTGAACACTTTTTCATTTTAAGGTTTACCTTAAGATTTTTTTTTTTTTTTTTTTTTTGAGGCCGCCATCCTTGTCAAGCTTTGCTTATGATTGCGGTCTCCTGCACTTTTCCATTTTTTTTTCCAAAGTTCGGATAATACTTTAAATTTATGATTATATGTTATGGAAATATTCAGTTTCGTTATTATATGTACTATATTATGTAAAAAAAAAATTTGACATGAAGAAATTATTGTTTGTTTATGTTGTATTATACCTTACATTTATATGTTCTTTGTTATTCAGTTATATTTTATATGGAAAAAATGCAGAAATAAAAATCAAATAAAAATCAAATCAAATCAATATCGCCACTCTCTTAATGTTTTAAGTTGAATACGTTCGTCTTTCTCTCTCTCTCTGAATTAATTATTATCTTATCACTATGATATAGAATAAAGACTTGGAATGAAAAGAGAATAACGGGAGACAAAAAAATAAAAGGACAGTGAAAGAAGGGAAACAACAGGAGACTGAGAGCAATTTTTTCCTCTAAAGAGTAGGCTTTTTTAAGTGGTAATTTAAATTTCACGAAGTCTTCTTTAAGAAGAAAAAGACACACTAAGCCCCGTAGACAGTAAACATTTTACCATGCGACCCAAACACACCATCATCATGCTTTTGTCTTTGAAGCATAACTACTTTAATTAGTCATTTTAAACAGGAAGTAATGAACCATAATATGATTGAAATGTAATCAGTTACAGTCATTGACTGGTCAATGACACTGCCCACTGCGCAGCTTAAGTCCATCCTACATAACTCTGGCGTCATATGATCTGTTCACATCCGCAACTAACATGTTCTTGGCCCCGTCTTTTAAAGAGTTACGATTGATCCAAATCAATCGTAAGTCCTCCAATCAATCGCAAGTTTTCAGTCTCCCATCTCCTATGTACATAGTTGCGATTAATATCAATCGCAAATAAGTTGCGATTGATATCAGCTCTTTATAAGACGGGACCCTTATCAGATAACATGTCTGCAGTACAATGTTGCTGAAGAAACATTCCATCCCAAAGGAAGATCTTAGGGGCACGTATTTGTTAAACCTATGCTACATTATTCATTGTTTCCATGTTTTCTTAATGCACATGTTGTTTAATTATGCAAAGTGTCTGGTCTGATGGATACCTTTACCTGAATGTGGGTCAGTTGGGTATAGTTCAAATTCCGGCAGCGGCACTTCAGTGATGTCCTCGAGCAAGACATGAATCTACACTGACACTCTTTACTTGGGAAGAAGACGTTTCCTGGAATGCTTAATGAGCGCCTCGGTTCATGGAAGCTCATCAAAGTTTCAGGCGATGCGATATTGTAGAACGTGGACGCGTTGTCCTTGATACTTTGACGGAGAAAAAGCAAACAGAAGTGGAAGCAATGATTGAAGGCGTTATCGTATCTGTAGGTTTCTGAACTGCTGAACATAGTGAAGGCATTTTATTTTATTTTCTTAAATAAAAATCTTGTTCTATTGCTACGCTCCCTGGTCAGGAATTACCTAGACCTTGGAATGGTTAAGTAAATAATTATCATAGCCCTGTACAATTTTATGACAAACACGAACTGTTCAATAAAAACCTTAGTTTTCATGTTTATTTTTGTTTCATGAAGTAACTTGAAACCAATCGTTACTATTTATTAATTCACCTTTTACGTCACACCAATAGGCATATTCACCTGGAAATGTTCTTAAACAAGATACAAGAAAAATTGCTCTTCCATTATTTTATGTAAAATGTTCGTATTTATTCTAAGATGAAAATAAAAACAAATTCTAAGGAAAGAAGTCTAAAATAGTGGATATTATTGAAGTATTCAAACAAATGATTTTTATTTGTAACCTGTTCACAGATATGCGAGGGTATTCTTTGGAACTATAGTGATATCCCTTTCCTTAAAACTATTCATTGTATGCGAGAGAGTTTCTCCCTCCAAGGACTTGATTTACAAGCGCAATGGGCTCGTCAATTATCGTCCTTCAATCGATATACTGATCACGAGCCTCTCAGTCGTCACCCTCTCTCTGATCTTCTGCCTTCTGCCCTAATTCCGGTTCACCGGCTTTCGATTATTCATGAAATATATTTCAAGATTCTTGACAGTAGCCGTTAGCCAGGTTACCAAAGTAAGGCCGCATGGTCTAATTCCTGTATTGTCTCCTGAAGACCTTCTTGAGACATTACCATGCTCAAGATTCACCTATCAACGTTCATTAGCATGATCGTGGGTGAGAAATGACATATATTACAATGTTCCAATCGATCATTTTTCCGGTCTTCGGGCAATCTGTGCCCTTTTTGTGGTAATATTTCAGTCAGATGAATGAGGTTAAGTCTGAGCTCAGTTTGTCTCCATAGAAAGGTAAGCATAATAGTTGGGAACATACCAGAGAGATGAGCAGTGCCTGGGGGAACTGATGATCTACAATATATCGAAGGACTGCAGTCATATATGAAAACACACTAACCATCATTACAGGCATAAACTCATCCTCATACTCGTCGATCATTATTTTTAGGGAGAAAAGTTGTTTGGAGCAATATTTTTATATTTTCATTCTAAAAGTGGCATTAAAGAAACAACGCATTATGTTTAAGGGGTTATCCAATCCAGAATTTGTGAATGATTGTGTTGAGGTGTCGTGACATAGTGGTTCATTCATGTGACTCTATAGGGTTGAGGGTTCGAATCCACATTTGCCATTCTCGACCAAGGTGTTAATATGTATCTGGCAATTGAATGGGGGGATAATGATTGCAGAACCCCAGGAATGATATCATTGAAGCGGATGAGGCTTCCCTGGGAAACAAAATTATTGTTGTCTGGCGAGTTGAATGGATCTAAGTACAATCGTAAATTTATAGTTGAAAATACGGAAAATATCGATATGACTATAAATGTATGATATCAAAATTATATGGAACCTTTCTCTTTCTCGTTCTTCCTCTGTCTGTCTCTCTGTCTTCTCTCTCTCTCTCTCTCTCTCTCTCTCTCTCTCTCTCTCTCTCTCTCTCTCTTTCTCTCTTTCTCTCTCTTTCTCTCTTTCTCTCGTAGGTGGAAACGATTGGTGACGCGTACTGCGTTGCCTCAGGACTTCACAAATCTTCCAACACGCACGCGCAATTAGCTGCAAAGATGGCGATTAAAATGATGGAGGCTGCAGCGGCTGTAAAGTCACATCAGGGAAACGCACTCAGGGTAAGCAGCTAATTATTAACACTCAAATATTTTCGAGAACCCCATAAAGTTGTTGAAAATTTGACGCCCTTTCATAAAGGGCACTTTTCTTAGTGTTCTTGTTGCAGGAGGAAAAGCCGATGCACGTGTGTGTGTGTGTATTTTTTAAATGTTTTTTATTTCTATTTTATAGGTGTTCAGGAAGGGGGAATGTTTCACAAAAATCATAAGTTGAACTTATCGCTTAGTTGGACTTAACAATTATAGAAAGCCGTTAGAATCTTTTTAAATATTTTGTAAAAGTTATTTTTAAAGGCATAAAATGTTGATCCGAATCACTCATATTGTCTATTATCAAGGAGATTTCATGTTCTTGTTGTGGAATGTATGAAAAGTCTAATATACTTGATTTTCTGCTTTTGAAAATATTTTATTTCAAGGCTACATAATGTTACATAAGGCTACATAAGGCTAAATAATGTTAAAGTCCAACTTAGTGTTAAGTTCGACTTAGGATCTTTGTGAAACACCCCCAGGTCTAGTAGACAATTCGGTATCAACTCTTTTCTGACTGAAATCTTAGGTCATGGTATTGTCAGGGTTCAGTAGAAGCAGAATTATCCATACGATACACAATTTGTTAAAAGTATCCTTACTTTACGGTTGAAATAAACTGATTTTAAAAATACCCCACTAAATAAATTATTATACTTTTTTTTTGAAGTGGGAAGTACCGTAATCATCATACATATACTATAATTATTCACTCTAGGTTATGTAGAGCTCAAACTTTCACTCGCATTGCGACATGACTACCGTACTTTCCGTGTTTAACAAACTTTTTTGTTAACCATTGTCTTTAAGTGGTTTCCAATCAAACTTAAACTATAACAACGGAAGGGTTTTTGAAATATCAAATAAAATGATAAGGCGTTTAAATATTGAATCATCATAAACGGCGTATATATAAATGATGATATAATTATGATGCTGCTTATATTGATGACGTTGACTATGGTTGTGATTATAAATCACGTTGATTATGATGATGATGAATGCGACGATCGTGATAATAGTGATGATGATGATGATGATGATAACAATTTCTTTGGATTACCATAGAAGCTCTTTTTTCATTTGATATGCTAGTTTTGTCAAATGAAAGTTGAAACGAGAATTTCATTATGAGAACATCATTAGTATTTGTTAATATTATTACTCAGAAACCTGTGTATACCTTACCAGATCTTAAAGATAATCGTACTGTTAGAATACATGTTATCACTATGGTTTAATGAAAACACCTCCCAAAGACCTCTGACTTAGAAGAATAAAAAAGCTTTTTAAAAAAGAATGTTGAGCCAGTATCAGACAGATAATCATGTTTCCTCTATACCCTAAATGGCCCTCCTAAAGTCGATAAGGTAATGTCTCTGTATGTGGCACTCTTCGTCAGGTCTAAACCATTCTCTATCTGATGTAGACGAAATCCTGCCCTGGTAATACCTATTGATTTCATAATAATCATTTTGAGGCTAACACCGTTGCAAAGGATGGTAAAATGAACGGTTTTCCGAATAAAGTAATAAAAGGTCTACCGCCGTCCTACTACACCAAATGAAGGCTGCGGTGAGGATTCCTTACGCGTTCTGAATACGCCTTCTTGTCTGTGGTTTATGGTTTGTAGGTACTGTGGAATCTCTATGACATCACATTACTTCTTGGTTTCGTAATCTTAGACAGATCCTGGCCTGTAAGAAATAAGTATCCATCTTAAATGAAGCGTAAGTACAGCCCATGCGTAAGATCGTGACAAGGAATGAATCCCTGTGTCAAAATGGAAGCCTTGATTAATGCTTCCTCACGACTCCACTCCATTTCATTTGTTTTACCTCATTACCCGCCTCTTTCGCCGCAAACAATCATCAAATCTAAAATTGCAAATCGTGCTGTCCCGAATAAAAACGCGAGAGACTCTTCATCAATATGGGTATATTTCCTGGAAGAAAGTTGGCATCTTCTTCAACTTCGTAACACATCCCATTTTTCTGACATTGTCCATATTCCTACCATCCACTGGTGAATGACGACTTCTTTTGTTTACCTGACTACTAAGAAAGTATGTGTATGCTTGTAAGTTAGAAATCATAGGACCGACGACTTTAAGTCCTTTCCGAGGGACTAGATACTGAGGAATAATACTTTACCAAAGGACAGTAGCGCATTGACTTGGTTTCGAACCCTGGTCCTCTCTGTTACGAAGCCACTGCTCTACAACTGAGCCTTCGTGCCTCCTCAAATTATGGGTTAAATTCAGAACTTGTTTTAATGAGAACCCTAAGACATGCAGGGCTGTGTTAAATCAAACACGCGATTGACAACAGAACTTTCAATTACTTTCAGTTAGCATAACTATCAAGAAGACACAGGAAGAAACAAATCGAAGAGCGGGATGGTGTTTACACTTTAATATTTTCTTTAAAATTTCTTGGTACCTCATCGAGAAAAAAAAAAAGGTTTTTACATTTATTTCTAAACTCAAGCGCAGTAGATTACAAACATTGGCTTTTGAAATTTGTATTTCCAAAGGATGAACACTATCAGTGTTTCGATACTCACCGTTTTAGCATCTTTCTTGTCATTATTATACATGGGTGTAAGTAATAAAAGGCACATCACTATTTTTTTCTCCCGCTCCCATTCACTTTTCTTTCTCTTTCCAGCCATCCCCCTTCTCTCTGTCTCTTTCTCTCTCTCTCTCTCTCTCTCTCTCACTCTAACTCTCTCACCCTCACTTGTTCACTTCCCCTTGCTGCCTCTATATCACACCACCTCCTTCCCTTCCCTCTTTCTTTTTTTCTCGTTCTCTCCCCTTCTCTATTTATCGGTAGAAATAGAGATGGGTGGGTACTGGTTTCATGTGTTTTATATTTTAACCAAATGAATTTAGTCATAAATAATGAATGGAAATGTAACAAGCTATCAAAGCTCTGCATGTGCCTTCTAAATCAATTTCTTGGTAAACACTGTTCTCCCCACAGATACATAAATATTGAATAATTCATTATGAAGGTTTTACCGCCCATTCCCACCATGCCTACGGCAACCTTTCCATCTCAGCTTGCGAAAAATGCCATCTTTTAATTATGGATTCTACCTTGCGTGAAGAGATAAGAGATAGGATTAAATTGGCAACGTGTGAAGATGCGTTATTGCGGTAGATTTAATATCGGCTTACTTTAATCCTGTACACAGGCTCTGTATCCCAGGCCATTACTCTACCTGAGCTGAGTGAACGGTGCGTTATTGCCTCTTCTATGCTTCTCAGACGCCAGTCGCCACCCCTGGATTATTGCTTGCAAATCATAATTTGTCGATCAATTATGAAAATTTCACTTGTGTAAGAAAACAAGCTGTCAAATGTAATGGAACAAAACTTAAACAAAGTCAGTATTGTGTTTCCTTTCCTTTATATAATGGAGGAAATATTCCTAGAAATTGCCATTTGGAAACATTCAATAACACCCATGACTAATTTGAATTTTATTGTTATTCCCATTTTGATTGAATTATTATAGAAATTCACGGTGTTAGATACTTCGCCCAGAGGCATAAGGGAAGCAATAAGGATATCAAATTTGATTAAAACTTATTTTGTCCTTTATAGTAATGTTGCTATGAGAAGACTCTCAGGGGGATTTAAGGGAACGAGTATTCATTTTATCCGAGGAAAATTGAATTATTTTTGGAATCATTGAAGCTTTTTCAAATCAAATTATACGGCATCAATAAAATATTTTACGTTTATATAGCACATGAATTGGTTATTATACATTGCCCCTGGCCCTGGTTCGTTTTTTCCAGAGGTTCATAATTACGACGGTTCGTTTTCCGAAGGATTCATAATTCCGACGGTTTATTTTTCCGAAGGTACAAAATTATGAGGATTCGCTTCCGAATGGTTCATAATTACGACGGTTCGTTTTTCTGAAGGTTCATTATTCTAATAGTTCGTATTTCAGGAGGTTCATAATTCCGACGGTTCACTTTTTCGAAGGTTCATTATTCCGAAAGTTCGTTCTATCAAAGGTACACAATTCCGACGGTTCATTTTTCCGAAGGTTTATAATTCCGAAAGTTCATTTTCCCGAAGGTTCATTATTCTGATAGTTCGTTTTCTGAAGGTTCATTATTCCGACGGTTCCTCACAGACATAGAACCCTTAATCGTTTTCCGGAGTAACAAACCTCAGGAGTAACGAACCCTAATTCATTTTCGGAATTATGAACATTTGGATAAACGAACCTTCACAATTATGAACCTTCAGAAAATCGAGTGCCTCCCTATTCGACAACCGGTGTCTTTGTCCACTAGACAAGACCCAAACAGATAATGTGAAGATAATGTTAGTAAGATAAGTCGTCGTCAATGTTCTGAAAAGAAGTAAAACTAGCATGATGACCTTAATCCTCCCTAATGCTAAAACGTCCGTCCATGACACTGAATATGATAAATTAGATTCGACAGATGCTTTTATGTCGTTTTATCCTATTCCTACGAAATGCATGGGGTCTTGAAACTGCGTAGAATCTGCCATGGTTGATTAAAGATAAAATGACTCAATGAATTCGTATGTAATGGCTCGTAATGCATATCTAAACATTGCTTTGTATGTTGAGCCATTCCTGTAGCCTGTGTTATCTCCATCGTTGTCAAGTGATTACATATACCGAAACCATTCCAGCATACTTATCATTCACATTTTTGATGAGCTCACTTCTGTACAGCCATGCCTGACGGGAGCTGTTTAAAGACCATACCCAAAATGAAAAATTAAATGGATGAATTATATATTAACGGAAAGCTTTTAAGCCATAGATTACAATAATATCAATTAAATGCAATGTTAGTGTCTGTCAGAGGAGCATGAGCTCTCTGAAAACTCAAATTCCAAGCTTTGAAAATCGGATTGTGTCGACCCAAAAAAATTGCTATCGACTTGATGACATCATCTTATGTGGAGTAGGCACATTCACAGTGACTTTGCATTAATTAAGCACGGCTCATCGCTATATCATCAGCTATATATGTGAACCGATGGGGTCCACGTGTTATGTCGTCACTGTAACGTCGGTAAATTTGACCGCTGTTGACCTGTAATTTGGAAGGGTGCGGATATCAAGTTTTAATTTGCTTTTGTGCAATAGTAAAACTGTAAATACTTTTTATTCCTTTATAATTTTATTTTACATTAATTCAGTTCTCCATTTATATCAAGTTGTATTTTCTTCGGATAGGGTCTTTAAACATTTGTTTAAAAATCTCCAGAGATGTAACGACTTTCAGGAATCACTGATTTTTTTTAACCATCTAGTGTTTCTGAACATTACGTGTTGATTGAAATACTCCAGCATATCAATTCTATTTCTTATTCATCAGAGTGTCATAATGATAAACAAAGAGAAAGACCGCGTCCATCTCGTATATATTGACATTCAATAATTGCATAAAATTTGTAGTAAAACAAATATGACGTATTTGCCGAATATGTGTCATAATAATGTAACATGTATACTAGCTGAAGGATAGGCCAAGGTGGTATTAGGTCTATCTAGATAAAGATAACGTTTGAAAAAAGGTGCGATGTTCATTACACATTCATGTTGGTTCTATGCAATCTTAAACACAGTTTCCTAGCTTATCATGTAGTTTGTAAATATTCTTATAATCTGCATAACCAACCATTGTGAATATCCTTTTATGTTTGACGAAATGAATCTGGAAATCCAGTATCATTACTAGATATCGAGTCGTTTATTTTTTATTTCATTTTTTCTAAATACCATTCACTATCATGCCCTCATTTTCAGCAACGTGGTTGACTATTTTGTGTATGTCTTTTCTGTTTGTGCTGTATACAGATGCGTATTGGACTGCACACAGGAGAGATTGTGGCGGGAATTGTCGGTCAGAAAATGCCCAGGTATTGTCTGTTTGGTAACAATGTCACCCTAGCTAACAAGATGGAATCGCATAGTGAAGCACTCAAAATCAACGTTAGTCCTACTACACACGTGTAAGTATGACAATACAGATATCTGAAATATACGTATCTGAAATATTTGTTAAAAATGTATGACAATACACTTCGTATTACAAGAGTAACTCCCCTGGTACTGATAATATGTCATAATAGGGACTTTTCGATTTGCATGACGACAAAGTGGACTGCTACGTGTGACCTCCTTTTAAGGCACTGGCAGTGCCTTAACAGGAGGTCACCTTGCCTTAAAAGGACTCCACACGTAGCAATCCACTATGTCGACATGCAAATCTAAAAGTTCCTGTTATCTTGTTTGAGCGCCAACGATGGCTATTAGACATATCGACGTTTTTATGATAATTTGGATGACCATCTTTGGTATTGTTTCCTTCTAATTTAAAGCATGATATTTTGAGCTAATTATTCTTAAACCATTATATCCATTTTTATTTTCCATTGTGTATAATTTAGTTGCAAGTTTAGAAGCCAATACTTGTGATAGCGAATGTATTTACTACAATGCATTGGTTTAGCACTTCAAGGACCGCATTTGTAATTGGAGAGATTAATTCACACTAAGCTTATCTTTTCGAGAGCCTGTTAATAGAACCCACTTTTGATTCAAGAAGAGGAAGAAACTATTGTAAAAATCCAACAATTCTCTTCATACTGTCATAATTAGGGATTACATTCGTTAGAGTTGATTCTACTTCAAATCATAGTTGAGTCCACTATGAAGTGGTGGACGAATAACTTTTTGAGAGTGGATTTCACGATTCCGAGCGTGGATTTCTGCTCCAAATGAATCAAAGCAGTATATCACGGCGCATTTCGATCAAATTTGGCAGATATATGGTGCGTAGGAGGGGGGGGGGGGGTCGTCATTCTCCTACCTTCAAACACACTCTGTGGTGTTTGTAGGTAAATAGATATCACTTCATCCAACCACACGTCAAGATGCAGCCGCGTATCCATGGCGGGAAAAGAAACCTCCTGATGGTCCCTCTGCGCTGAAACTATTTATTCTAATGAAATTCCTAGCCATCAGTGGAATTGCAAAGAGCGGGGAAGAATGCGAGAAAACGTACGAATTATTATCAAATAAAGATTGGGAGCGGGCTTTGTAAGTGAAATCTACTTACTTTAATCCGTATTTAGATATGTAAGGGTGTTTGGGTTTCGTCTTTCTCGTATTAAACGCACGGTGTGGTGTACGATCGAAGCTCGTGCTTTTACGACCGGGGGAAATGGAATTTCAATTTTTTGAATTAAATGTATGTCGAGGTAAGGCGAGCTATTGAACTCTGTATCAAAGAAGTAGATCCCTGTATCCTGATTGCGTAAACTGGTCTGTATTGAATAGAGACATGCCCATGATTTCTATGGTTAAATTATACCCAGGAGTTCCATTTTGAGGCATTTCGTCTGTAGAACCTCGTACAATCATGTCACTAAGGTGGCTATGTAGAAAGAAAATGTTGTTATTTCGAATAGGCTATTTACCAATACATGTGTGATGAGATATTATATCCCAAGATGTTGTGGGTGACATCTCTATTTAAATTTAGAGTGTTTTGTCTATGAAATTTAAGTACACAGTCTCGTGGATGTAAAACATGCAGATAATGCGTCATTGAAAGGTTCGAACTTAGATGCTTGGATTCTTTTTTAATACAATCACGTGTTGAAAGTTGAATTAGAGATTTACTTGAAACTGATTAGTTTCTTCATTCGATCTATTATGAATATCCCACAGATGTCAAATTCACCTATAAAAATTTATTTTAAAAACGTTTACTTCAACAAAAGTAGATTAAAAGGAAGAATAATTTATTTACAATCCTTTAATAGGACAACAATGAATCAGATGATAACGATAATGATAATAATATAATAATAATAATAATAGCAATCATTGTCATGATAATAAGAACTATAAATATCAATCATAGACCAGGATATCATATCAGTAATAATGATACTGGAATCCTGTATATTGCTCATGTCTTCAACATTACCACTCCTGACGCTCCATTATTATTAGCCCAGATTTAGCACGTCTGCCATTACAGTGCTTGAGCTTTTTAATGAATTAAATCCTGTTACGTACCTATTTATCTCACCTGGTTGGAGTGCAGCAAAATAATATAGATTAATGTTTAGCCAAAGAACATTAGTGCTGCGACAGGGTTTTAAACCCCTTACATTGTGGCTCACAGTCCGGAGATTTACCCACAATACCATAACACCTCACCTAAATTAATTGTCTGGCCAGAAAGAAAAGAAATATCGTTTTGCTCTTAGACTAAAATTGATAAATACACTTCACTTTCCCATTGATTGATTTCGTACCTTGTCAGTTGTGATGGTCGATACACCCATCGTAAACCAGTCCGTAACATCAATTTTAGTATTACAGCATATGGGACTACAGTAATTATTTCGCGTCGCTATACATATCCACAAGTCTACGTTTCTAACTATTATGAAATGCTGAAATTCGTATTATATTATCATTATACATTTTTGATAGTGTGGCCAGGACTTTCCAGTCTCCAGTTTTACTAATCGTGGGCGGATATCAATCATAGACCACGATATGTCTCACCGACCACTAACCTTTAATTTATCTATTTGAAACAATCAGTGGTTTTACCGGCAAATTGCATATCAGTATTCACGTGGTAAAGAAAACCACACATTTTTCATAACGTTACCACAATGAGAGAAATATAGAAATATTCAAATGAAATCCACATGGGTACCACTACCACATCTATCTCGGTGAAACTGATATGACTAGAAACTGCTGCTTGGGTTTTATCATGGGATATCTTCCCATTTACAGTATGACGTACAATCATCATTAAAAAATACAATAGAACTTACCATTTGAAGGCACAAGTGTATTCCTACATGAATGGTTTATAAGACTTGTTTGCGTTATATATAAAAATATTTATATTTACATGCCTGTGTTATTACGTGTCGGCTTTGATTATATTCAAGGAATTATTTACATTCAAACCTTAGCTCATTAGTTCAGCATTGGTACTAATGATTTTGATTTAGATATATCGGCAAAGATCCTTGATTTCATATCCATGTTTACATATTTTGTATTGTATATGTAGCCTATCCCATATAGTTGTGTTATAATAGTGTTATTGATGCATTGTAATTACTTAAAATTTAAAAGGTTGTAGTAATATATCCATTGCAGTGTTATATCAGTGTGATACTGTGTTGGTCAAACGTAATCCTCATGTACTCTGAATTGTGATAGAAATGCACTCGTCATGAACCCGTATGTAGACATGGTGTAATTGACGTTTTAGTGAATTATTGTGCGTGACTTCACAAAGGAACGATGCTTGAATAGTACCCTTCTCGTCGGTGTAAGCACGTGTTTTTACAGAGCTTGCAACTCAACCCCTATTGGAAGAATGGTCACGTTTCTCTAAAGATTCGTTTATCTAAGTAATTACGGGAATTTTGACTATCACTGGACTATCTTCCAAAGGAATATGCGAAGTGTACTTTCTAGTCTGTCTATATTACTGGTATGTGAATTAAAGTGTCGGGACAGCAGGTAATATGCTATGTCAGGATACTACCATGGAAAGATTTTTTTTGTCTTCAATAGAGCTGTACACAACTGTTCCTTCATCCCTTTATCATACCAATGAATTTATATGGGTTAAAAATCTCTGTTCAGAGCCATTCAACCCCATAGGGTTAAAAGAAATTTGACTCGGGAGGATGTTTCATCGATTGCTCCTTCATTGTATGCTAATCCTTTTTTTTTATTCCCTTTTAATTATTTGAAAGGAGTAAAATATGACAAGAATGGCTGTAAGATTCATAGCTTGTTTTATTTAATGGTATATTTATTACAAATCTGCCTCGTAGCCTAGGCTAAATTATACATTTTGTTAAACATATACAAAAACAAAATGCATATAATAATAAATAACCATACTTTATGAACATATTATTATGAAATACAAAATTAGACGCGTTTGACATGGTAAATGTGGCCGATTGACTAATTAAAACAAATAAAAATCAAGATTAGAAGTCACTTAAAAGAAGAGAAGAGGAAATGAAATAGGTAAAACAATTTCTATTTACCTTTATGATTAAAAAAAAGAGGATCTTTTCGATGGCAGTATCCTGAAGTAAAATATTACCTGCTGATCTGACACTTTAATTCACATACCAGTAGAGCGTAATATCAGGTTAAGTATATGTATAGGCCCAAAATAGGTTAAACAGATATACACATCTACGAATTTAATGTAACATTGTGTTTTTTTTGTACAACCTTGTGAAAATAATGTGTAAAAAAAGGATATTAATGGGGGAAAGCTGTTAATCATTTGAACTATGCCCTGATGTTATTATCACAGCAGAAAAATGATTAATAGTATAATAAAAATCATCCTTCTTTCTGTTTTTCTCTGTTTTCACAGCCTTCTGGTTGAATGTGGTAGTTATCACTTTGAAGAGCGCTCTCGGGAAACTCTTCCCGCCGCCTTTCCAGCCACCATCCTAGGCAATCCTTTCTTTCTCTATGGCTACGATACTAATCCTGAAGAACCCGTCGATGCAGAACTCTGGGGAGACAGTACTCATGTTGAGATACCCACGTAATCAAGAGGAATCTAATCCCGTAATCCATGTCAAGATGTGATCTCATCAGAGCAAGGTAGACAATACTTATCTTGAGGATTCAATTTGACATTTCATTTATACCATTGTCTTCAGAAAATCAGGACTTTACTTGCGTCATGGAGATGTTTCTTCATCTGTAAATTTCCTGTTTTTTATGTAATGGCTGACTTTTAGAACTAAGCTTCTGTTAATTGAGGATCGATTTGGATCTTGATTTAGCTACCAGCTGATCCCAAATTAAAATAAAAGTCGAAAGTAATATGTCCTTTATGGTTCCGTTCATTTGTTAAAAGTCATGTTTGGTATTAACAAATGTCGTTATGGTCAGGGAAATATCGTAATTACGATCATGGTGAAAAAGTTGATCACAGCTAACATTTTGAAAATCCATAGTGAAAATATGTTATAATGACGAACAAATAGTCAAGTTTATTATGATCAAGTGTAATTGATAATTCATTTAGCTTTCAACTCCTTATTGACTCAATAATGGAGACTGTCATTCAGCTTTCTCGCTATTTAACCAAGTTAAACCAAATAAATGGAACAACTTTTTAAGTTTATTAGTTCTTTACTAGGCCTGAAGGAGTTTGACTCATAATGTATTCTGGTTTCCTACAGGAAGAAGTTAAGAGAATGTTACCGCACATTGTGTGTTGTAGACTAAACATGCTAATGAATATTGATTTTGAATTGTTTGTATAAATGAAGTGTCATTTTGAGCTGTAATGAGATGGTTTGTCTATGCATGACCAGGATTTGTTCGTAATCGATCAAATATTGACTATGGTAATGGGTAGATAGAAGATCACGTCTCCCACCAACTGTAATTACTTATGTTTCCACTGAATGGTTAAATGATGTGAATACTAAGATCATGAAGATACACTGTATGATCATGAATCTAAAGACACCGAAACGATTGAAATGTAGTAAGAAGTCTGCATGTTGTTCGTTATAAATGCAATAAAGGTATGTTGGGACTTACGTGTGTGTATTCATTATTCAAAGAGGGCTGATATACACATTGTCTCCTGTTTTAAAGTGATAGGATGTAATCTTCTCAACGTGTTGAATGCCATACCTGGTAATAAATATTACATTTAGAGACTCATAACAGATGGGGGTACTTCCAGACAGGCAGGGGTGTAATGTGTCTGGGTAACATATGATATTACCTTTCTCCCCGTGGGTCTTTAAATGAGGGGGTCGGAGGGGAACACTGCCTCCGTTCTAGGATGAATGGTGAAGGGTGGTTTTTAAATCCACCAACATGTGACCAGGAAAACTTTATTTACGCAATATTTCATGACAGTTCATTTTAAAAGGTGTAAGTAATTATAGACTTTTGGTACCTACATTTGGGTTATGCCTATATACCGTGTCAAACAATCGGGAAAAGGATGTTGTCGTTATGAATATGTTTAGCTATTGCATGAACTTAAAATAAACAGATGATGTCTATGTTATTATGCCGAATGATCAAAGAAACCATTGTTTAAACACAATTGTAGACGTCATGGAAAAATGAGCTCAGTAAGGCGATTTCATATTTTACCTAACACTTTTATCATTTTACTTTCGTGTGCATTAGATCTAATATCTTTTGTGCAGGCAACATTATTTAGTCTACTGTTTTTATTTTTTCCTAAGATATAAGATAGGCGTCAGTTCATTTTTGTATTGAACATTTTGAATACAGACTGGATGTATTCCTTATTACTTTCTCTTCAAAATAGATGTAGGTATCTTACCTGGGAAAAGATATCGTGTTGTACTGTGAAAAAAATGTTCTATGCGTTTGGGACCATTCACCTAAAATATAACTTGTGCATATGCGAATAAAGTAGTCTTTTTTCTCCCCAACCCCCCCCCCCCCCCGACAAAAATAATAATAATAAAACTAGTATTAATGATAATTCGATAATATTGATCATGATGATGATAATAATAATATTAATAATGATAAAAGTAATAATAATTGATGAATAGATGAATTAAAAAGTTTATAAATAAGAATTACCAGAAATTCTTTGGATAAAGGATCAGAAGTATGAAAAAGTAAAGGATAAAAAAAAAATCAGATGGCCTCTTGGCTCGAAACCCACCTGCTACCTTGGCTCCTTGCGTATTAGAGCGTGTAAGGACGCGTCGATTAGTCTACTCAAATATCGCTTTTAAACTTATTTAAAGAGAATTTGGTATCAAAATCGTTCTTCTAAAGAGATTCTAGTTCACAATAATACTTCAGTAAAAGCATAATGCTGTGGAGCCTAAAGCATTCAGAGCAATTAATTGTATGTGACTGGTCCCCGGTAGTATATTTTCCACAAAAGTACAATAGCTAACATCTCAAAAGTCAGTTTTCTATTATCTGCACATCACTTTATATCGTCACTTACAGGTAATATTATTACGAATCTATACATTTTGCGTATTGTAAGATGTCTGTTTTTATATCATTTTCATTAAGGTTGTTCTTTTTTACATGTAGTTTTCTCTTTCGTAAGTGTCGTTTCATTAGGGCGGACGTGGTACATTTGAAGTGGATCAAAAACTATCTCTGTTATCATCATTATTCTGTGTTACACCAATTACCGATTGACAAATATGAAATATCTTTTATAGACGAAATGAGTGATATTGTCGGGTTATTTTCTTATTTTCATGTGGTAATTCGAAGAAAAATTCATTCATAAAAAGAACAATGTATATAATACAAACTTGAGACGTCAAGATAAACTCCCTCATGCGAGATATAGCTATTGTAAAAAAGAAATCTTTTCGATTTTTGTGTTCAATTAAAAAGAAATTATTATACATGATATTTTTACAAATATGATACTTATTCAGAATATGTCGTATCATTTGAAATACATTTTATTACTAACAATTGGAGAAGTGAAGCAAAAGATATGGGTGAATGGTAATATGTATTTGTTTAATGTGCATTATTATTATCGAGATCTAGTAACATAACGTTAATTGATTTGGTGCGGTATTACAAAAGTTAACGTCATAGTTTACACAGCTCCATGTTTTTTTCTCAAAGGGGCTATAAAAAACTTGAAGGTAAATGTGATACTCACATTCTGTTCCTTCATCCCTTTATTATATCAATGAATTTGTATGGGTTGAAAATATCTGTTCAGAGCCATTCATCTTCTGACATGGATCCTATCTAGGATCGCTTTTATCGTGTGTGTTTCTTAAATCATAGTTCAAGGCTCATCGTTTCTCGAAAGGATAAATATGATGCCGTAGGCAATGTATTTTGTGTTTTCGAAATAACGATTAGACGATTCAAAGTATCATTGATACAAGAACGATTTCAATCTTTGTTAAAAATCCTGTTTCATGAATGTTCTAATTAATGGCGTTCCAAGTTCCAACAGCCGCGTGACCAGAAACAGTTGCTTCGATCTCTCGAGGTAAAGAGCTGCATCTACATGAATGATCATAACCATCGTAAGAAAACATATCCTCAAACACTTTGAATAAGGCGTTTGGAAGGCAAAATCTTATATTGGCGAAAAAGACGTACATTTTGGAAGGCCACAATTTCGAACGCCGGATGCCTCTCAACGGAGATTGAAATGTAATTCAGGAGGTAATACCAGAACGAGATCAAGTAATTTTTGTTAATTTGAGGCGCAGATGCTAATCATAAACTTAGTTTCACACCAATCAAACAAATAGTCAGTGAATAGGAAAAAGCAGCATATTGCTACAGAAGTGGTCGGTATTTACTTCTCGTTGCGTCATACATGTAGTTACGTAGATAGGTTAGACATTAATGGGTCACATGTAATTCCATCCCAAGTTATTTTTCATCGTGTACGCCCGAGAATTACGAAATGATGAATCATGATAAGTCCTGAAAAAGTCTTTGATTCTTTAATACATTTCCAAGAGTATGATTAAAAGACACCTATGAAATGAAGAAATCTATATTAAAAACAAAAATGAACACATAGGAAATAGGAATAATTATGAAGAGGATCTCTGTTAATTACCTGGCGCAATCGGATACATGCTACAGGGACATCCCCTGTGTATGGGGTACGGAAATACATCTTGATGGTCGGAGAGGGTCCAGAACACAACTAATCATCTTAAGTGTTGCATTTAGCACAAGGGAAAAACCTGCACTGAGTGCACTGAAAACTTGCACCACTAATTCTGACACTATGATTTCTAAAGAAATTCTCTATGGGTTTAGTTGTAGCGCAATGAAAAGATATTTCAGGATATGCCAGCTTCGATATACCAATTAATTTTACATAAAATATTATTGTCAGCAAAACGCTACGTAAGCTTGTACGTCAATGATGAGTGGTTTTAAAATGATGTCAATTCAGCATAAAGAGAACTTACATAATCGTTCCCTTTTTCGCTCTTACTCAAGCATCTTAGTGTCCTTATTTTATAATCCAAGACAGATTTCCTAGAAATTTCGATTGATTTTATGTCATTTCCATGCTGATCAATAGCTCTTAGAGTAAACATAATAACACGATTTCTTGTGTAATTGCTGTAATTGTGATAGTGATGAGAAAAATAATAAGAAAGTAGGCCTATATGAATTAAAAAGGAAGCTATATTGCCAAATTTAATCAGAAGCGGATGTATTTCTTAAAGCCCACTGAACACATCACACGATCCTTTTGCGATCTGACGTTCAAGAAATCGCAGTTGCATTGGATATGGAAGTTTAAAGAATATAAATTTCCTAATTGAGGTTCTGATTGGTGATATGTATACTACAATGGAAATGTTAGTACATTTAACTAAGCCTTCTAGTCAGCGTTAAAGCGAAATAGGCTGAAAGATAATAAAGGTTTTCCTCCTTCAAGGAAGCCTGTAGTTCCCCCAAAATGTTGTTCTAGTAATCACATAGCCATTCTAAACCTCGAATATTAAGATCTTAATTATGTTCATGTGGAATGCTATAACAAATTCTTCCAAAATCGGATCGTATAAGGTGCGCGGTGGGTTTGACACCCACCCACCCACTCCATGAGTTCAAAGTCAAGTACCGATATCCTTCGGGCGTGTCTCTAGCTCCACTAGTAACTCGAACAGGGTGAGGTACTGCAAGCAGCAGCGTCGTGTACCATGTCAGGCACCGCTACTAGAGTCGACGAGTTCCCATTCCAAGCCCCCTTCAGCTTATCGATTCACCAATAAGCAGCGTATCGATTCCAGACTACATCGGATTTAGAATGACACGACGGATCTGCGCGCGCGCGTCTGTAGCGAGTGGA